TAATGTCATCAGTGCTAGAAGGGAGTGAGGTTGTAGAGTGGAGGAGGAGGAGAGGAGAAGGACGACGACTGTGGTGTCCTCGGTACTCTCTGAGCTTGGTTTTCTGCAGACGTTTCATGACCTAACTAGGTAACATCATCAGTGCTAGAAGGGAATAAGGTTGTAGAGTGGAGAAGGAGGAGGAGGAGGAGGAGGAGGAGGAGGAGGAGGACGACTGTGGGGTCCTTGATACTCTCTGAATATTCTTGCAGAAGTTTCATGACCCAACTAGGTAACATCATCAGTGCTACTGATCAGCACATTAGCACTGATGATGTTACCTAGTTGGGTAATGGCACGTCTGCAAGAAAACAACCAAGTTCAGAGAGCATCAAGGACCCCATAGTACTATGAAAGTTACTTTGCTTCTTTCTCACAACAGGTTCTCTTCAGAGGAGCCTTCTTACAAGAAGAGAAAAGAAGTCCCTAAGCAATGAGGAACATCACGAGGACCACAAAGAACGATGCAGTGATTGTTTATTTCAGAAGGATTCCTGTTTCGTTCGGGAATCGCCTTGATTAGAAAGCGTTGTGTGTCAAGTGATATCGAAATTCTGTGGACAGATGCTTGATCTCTGCTTGGTCTCTGATGGTTTATTTATACAGGTGGTCCTCAACGTACGACCACAATTGAGCCCAACCTTTCTGTTGTTAAGGGAGACAGCTGTTAAGCGGGTTTTGCCCCATTTTACGACCTTCCTCGCCTGCGGTTGAAAAGTTAGTAACCTGGTTGGTAAGCGAATCCAGCTTCCCCGTTGACTTGGCTTGTCAAAAGGTCGCAAAAGGGGATCCCATGACCCCGGGACACTGCGACCGTCATAAATGTGAACCCAGTTGAATTTTGATCAAGTGACTCTGCAGATGCTGCAAAGGTCGCAACTGTGAAGAGCGGTCAGAGGTCGCTTTTTTCAGTGCCGTTGTAACTTTGAACCGTCACTAACACTGCTAACACTGGATGTTCTTGCTTTGATAACATATGAAGATGCAGCCTTTTTCTTTCTCATGCTTTACTCTTAGAATTAGATGATGCTGCGGGGAGGAGGCGGAATGTGGTGGGAGTTAGTTAGACATAACAATATTGTACTAGAGCAGTGATGGCGAACCTTTTAGAGAACGAGTGCCCAAACTGCAACCCAAAACCCACTTATGCATCGTCGAGTGCCGGGTGGGTGTGGCCCATTGGGTGGGTGTGGCCCATTGGGTGGGTGTGGCCCATTGGGTGGGCGTGGCTGCGGTGGTAACAGCAGACTGGGTGGGACTAAAAAGTTCACTCAATCAATTCCAACTTTGCAAGATCTTTTTTTCCCGTGAGAAGTTGAAATTGACTGATTGATTGAACCTTTTTTTTTTTGCACACAGTGGTGGAGGCCTAAAGCGAAAAGGGTTTATAAAACCCAGCTGAAGGCCTAGGACTGGGGCGACAGCGTGCATGCCCACAGAGAGGGCTCTGAGTGCCGCCTCTGACACCCGTGCCATAGGTTTGCCACCACTGTACTAATGTCTGAAATAAGAGCTGATAAGAATTAGCGGGTAGCAGAAAAGGAGGGAAAGCCTGCATTTCAAACTAATTGGACAATGTGATTTATGACTGTTAATTGAAGGAGGGAATTGTGCTTTGATACTATGTGCTCAGGGGAGGGGAATCCAGTTTTTGGCTTCAACTATGTTAGTGCCCGAAGCTATGCTACTCCCATAAAGATTCTTTAAGGTAAACATAAAGATTCTTTAAGGTAAACAATGCCTCAAAGTTCTTTGAAGAGTTTCATGACACTAACAGTTGTAAGTCGAGGATTACAATCAAGCCTCCTGGGGTGTTTGCACAGCCAATGTTTACCGTATGCACGACAGCTTTTGCAGCCAAAAAAAAAAAAATTACCCTTGACTGAGTAATCAGCTCAACTGAGAGGCTGAATCAGATGAGTAACGATTTCCAGTGGAATCATTCTTCACCTGATGAAACATTGACAGATATCATAAGGGAAGCAGAGATGTGTGTATAAATCAGTCAGCAGCGAAAGCACCCCATTAGGCCTGCGTCTTGGATGCTGAGCATAGTATTAGATGACTTCGTAGGCAAATATGTTAGCGCTGTCATCCCGGAGCTTAATGACCCCCCAAAGCAGCTCCGTTTCCCAGTGAAAACACAGCCATTTTTTTTTACCACCCGACCAAAATTCCTTGATGAACAACCGACTTTAGTTGAGAAGTATATCCTGAGGGGTTCTCTACACAAAGCGGTGGCTTCCCCATTATTTTTAAAGATTCTACACATGTTTGTCTTCCAGGCTGAAGAATCCCGTGCGCCCTTGAAAAGAAAAGCATAAAATAAAAAAAGGAAAAGGAAGACATTCTTTTATTCTTTGTCACCAAGAACAAAGAGGCAC